TGTATTCTAGGCAATTTTTAATCAACCTTTTTAATTAATTAATTCAATTATGAATTGCAATTAAATTTAATTGTAATCAATTTACTTTAAAGTAAAAACAATATTTTTGATTGGGAAAGGATGGACGGTTAACGATTAACCATATTAAATTTCTGGGATATTCTAGGCAATTTTTAACCAGCGTTTTTAATTAAGTAATTAATTAATTTAATTATGAAATTAAGTTTATTTTTATTATTTTTTTCAATAATACGATTTTTTTACATACATACCTAAAAATTCGGACGTGGGGGTAACTGGCATTTAAAAGTCTAGTGGAAATAACATTCTCATTTTTGGCATGTTTAAAATAGACCTGATTTATTATGTACTTACATAAAAATAGAAGATGTGTAACGCGTGGAAATAATTCAATATATTATCGTCATATCTTCAACAATCAAAAGAATTATAGGTAGTAGTGAAAAGTCTAGAAAAAACAGAATTTATTATTTTTTGATATGATTTAGTGTTTAGAAGATGAATTAAAAAAAAATCATCGCAGGATGAATTAAAGCTCAAGTTTTAAATGTAGCGTTTTTATCTTTTTCCGTTTTTAAATTATCATTGATATACGCTCATAGTTAGATGATATTATCGCAAAATTGGTCAAAAGTGATTCAGGGAACCCAAAAACGTAAATATAGATCGAAAAAATCTTGATTCCTATTACCATTACTGGTAACTGCAAAGCAAAAATTAATTAGATCTAAGTTACCATAAAGTTTATTTATGGTTAACATGTGAAGAAAATAAGTAGTGATGTTTTCTATATCATTGACAAAAAAATATTTTCGGACTTGGTGAAAATTCAATCTCGTACCCCAATTTTTTTTTCTTTCCTTATATAAATCTGCTAATACATAATTTTAAAATTGAACCAAGCCGACTGTGGCCACTCAGTTTGTGCAAAGCCGGTACTCAATACAATGGCCGAAGTTCATACAATGATCAAAGGTCACCGAAATTTATCATATCTTTTTATTGTAATTTTGCCAGAGTTATACTTCAGTGTATTCAGTGCCGATACCTGCTGAAAATTACGTTTATAGTAATCTTGGCATATACGGCAGATTTGTATGGGCGAACGCCAGCCTTAAATTTTCACAGATTAAAGAAGCCCGCTTTTCAACCACCCTTCAATAGGAATAAACCAATCGATAAGTTCAACCAAGCGAGTTGGTCTGCATGGCTCGCATTCGGAAGGTTGTTGGTTCGAGCCCCACTGACTTCTGACCTGCTATGACTTTTTCAGAGGTTTTCTCATAGCAATATGCAAATTCTGGGTCAGTAATGTCATCTCAAATACCTACTACCTTCCTTCCACCCCATCCCTTCAGACCCGTTCCCTGATTCCTTCAGTGCGGCTGAAGAGGCTAGGAAAGCCTATAGCGGCCCGCACTCAACTGGGAGAAATATATTCACATCCTTTACCTTTTAAGGGATGAGTCCACCGTTGTGTTAAAAGAAGTTTAAATTACTAAGCGAAGTTCAAAATTACATTTTTACCTCAACAATGTCATTTTAATCTTCGCTTAGTAATTTTAACTTCGTTTAACAAAACGGTGGAATCGGCTTTAAGTTCGTCGTTCACACCATGGTGTAACAAAGTGTATAATAATCCAGTATGTGCGTAGTGACAACCAACCAGAATAAACTTCTCTAGTAGCTTATTAGTGTTAAACAATAAATTATGTTACTTACTTATATTTATCTTTTCTTTCTTAATTTATTTATAACTACGTCGATGTAATTTTTTTTAACCACGTTATTTATTGATTTTAAAAATGTATTTGATTATGTTATTCTTCTTCACATTAATAGCCTCCGCCTCTTTAGGTATCTGTAAATATCCTCAACAAATTACTAGTTTTTATAAATTATTATGAAACTATAGGATTCACATCTCTTTTTTGCAGTGAACATTGATATAAGTAGTTAAAATTTCATTTTTATTTGCTACCTAATATACAGGGTGTCCCAATGAAAAGTAGCCCGTTTCCAGAGCTTATAACTTTTAAGCGCCTAATCGTAGAAACCTGCGGTTTTCGCTGATATGTGTTATTTTGCTATAAGTTTTGGTTTAGTGACACAGAAATTATTACTACAGTGTTTTTTAAAAATCTCCTCTTTTAAATTCACCGTATCAAATTTATTTTGTAAAATACCATGTACAAATTATACATTTTTGAAAAGTAGAAGAGTGTATCATTCAGATGACCTAAACATATACAGGGTGTTCCATTTGATAAAATTTGGTTACTGTGAATTTAAAACACCCTATATAGGTAAAACATAATTTCTGTGTCACTGAAGCAAAACTTATCGCAAAATAACACATATCAGCACGTTTCTACGATTAGGTGTTTAAAAGTTATAAGCTCTGGAAAATGGGCTACTTTTCGTTGGGACACCCTCTATTATATTAATCTCATTAATAGTATATTACGTAACAGGAGTTGTAAGTAACCCATTACGCACGAAGTGAAAAAGTTTACGCACGAAGCCGCACAGCGGCGAGTGCGGAAATTTCACGAGTGCGTAATGGGCTTATAACTCGTGTAACGTAGTATACTTTTTCTACGCCCACTTAAAACATTCTCAAAAAGGATTTAACGTTAGGCTTTTCGATAGGTAATTTCGTACCTTTCTTTATTTTAGCGGTAACAAATTATGTGTGGCAGCTTGAGCTTTTTCTAAAATCTCCGGTGCAGTTCTCATAACTTCATCACTTTCACTGGTAACAAACATATTCGTAGGTACAGTTGAGAAAATGTTCGGATACAATCATATTTTGTTACAAAAATTGACAAATAAATGGCATGCCGTCCAGAGCATGCTAAGAAAACGCAACATATTATTAGAAATATTGTATAATATGTTGGCTACATTTAGGGGCATCACTCTTTTAATCCAAAATGTATCTCGCTAACGCTAAAAGTTTTTATGAGTTTTAAATGACTAAATTTATGTAAATAGACCAATATAGTCGTACGTAAACAAAAATTTAATTGCAATTTAATTAAACCAAGAAATTTAAGTTTTCTTATCAAAACGCACATGTATGTTATGAGATCTCATTACGTGCATGTTATTGTTAAATGTCATTTACAAGGAATGTTGATAGTGCTAAACCAGCCATACTCAACCTTTTTTCTTCGGGCCACATTCGTATAGGTATGTGCTATGTTACACGGGCCGCAATATTTTTGGATGATGACCTTTTTTTAGGACATCTATCTAAAATTAGTTAGTGGGAACCTCTCATAAATAAATATATCCCGTTGTGTTACTGCAAAATCAAGATAACTAACATTTTTACAGTTTCGATAAAACACTATTCAAACGTTTAAAACTTCAAACTGTTTATTAACTTCAATGAAGAAGGTATTGAAAACATTGTTTACAAAGAATAAACTAATAATCTATCAATAATTGGTAAAAGAGGGAAAAAACGTCACTTAGCTTATTTTAGCTCTACATACAAATCATAATTCAATGTATGTGTCATTATCTTCAGTCGAAGTTTCAGTAACATTATTGGATACAGTTAGATTGTGATAATAATGGTGAAATTCACCAGGTGTATCTGATTTTACAAAATTTTAGTAAATCTTTCTTCTTGCACTTTTTTGTAAGTATTTTCAAAACTTTATTTCATCCTTTCATGCATCCCTCTGCATAAATACTGTGCGAGTTTGACATATAAATCCGAATTCCCTACCCTCGTCCATTGATAAATAAAATCTATTTTTCTGGTGGAATGTATTTAGCCGAGCTGAATCTTTCGTTACGTTGTCTATTAGAAAGTATGGTTAAAATTCATATTCGTCCGTTACCACTAATGCTTTTATTTACGAATTTTCACATAAAGATTCACTCGTTACGGCTTGACGAATCACTCGTTACAGCTTGACCAATCACCCGTTACATCTTGACCAATCACTCGTTCACCACGGACATTCCAACATCACGTGTTATTATCTAGTGGTTGTTTAAGGTTAGCTGTATCGCGAAAAGAAAGGGTGACGTAATAATCTCGTGAATTTTGGAACAATCGAGAAAGGCCAAAGACGGCTCTAGTCATAACAAAACAAATTGCGTGGGCACAATGTTGTAATATTTCAACAAACACATTCAACCAAAATAAGTAGCGGCAAACCACTTCCGAAATACTGGTACGTTTTCACTGGAAATCACCGAAATCACTACAAATTTTCTCGAAAATTCCAAAATCATCATCTAAAATCATGGTCAAAATCAATTCGTCTCTCACAACCCGAAATGGCGAGAAAAAAAGATCATCGTATAAAATTAAGGTGGATTTTTAGTAAACACAACTAAATTACATAAAAAAAAATTAAATGATTTCCGAAATACAGGTACGTTTTGACCTTATTGGTTTCCCTTCGGTTCTGGCCTTTATCTTGTTTTGGCAGGAACACTATTAAGAATCGCACTAAATATATTTAGCAAAAATAAGTTATATGCCTATTATCTGGTTTTGGTAGACACATTTATTAATTGAACACAATGTTATGATTATGTTTTGGTATAAATGCCAGTCCATCTTGTTTGTCCATATTGTTAATGTATTAACATTCACATTTGTAGAAAGTGTACCTACTTAACTCGAAAATTACAAAAGTGGAGCTATCTTGTTTTTGCAGTAACCCCACAAAATTCTAAACGTTTATTTAAAAATTAGGATGCTATTTAACGCTGCGACCAATAATAGTGTTGCGGGCCACAAAAAAGCTTGGAGGGCCGCAGGTTGAGCATGGCTGTGCTAAACGTTTACTGACATGGGCGTAGAAAAAATACATTACATAACGTTAAAATTCAAATCCCGCGGGGCCATTAGGCAGGAATGTTCCAATTGGTCCACGCCTTAGATATATGCTCATTACTGATACTGACTCTCACCTGACATCCGATTCTGAATAAATGCGTGTTTGCAGGTCAGCAGGGGATGCACTGGCTCCCGGAGCGGGGGCAGCCGGCAGTGGCGGCGAAGACGGTATCGTGGGAGGGCCGCGAACGCCCCAACAGATCGCGGCCCAACGAAGACTGCAGCAGACGCAGGCGCAGGTTGACGAGGTGGTCGACATTATGAAAACGAACGTAGAAAAAGTACTCGAAAGGGATCAGAAATTATCTGAATTAGACGATAGAGCAGGTAAGTTTTTTATGCATTGATAAAGAAACGCAGAATTCAAAAGGTTACACTGCAAAATATCATTGCCAATTCTCAAAGGAGTAAAACAAACTTTAGTTGATAATATCACTCACAATTAGTTGATTATTATTCGACAATCATGCACTGTACTCGACTAATAACTGATCATGATTGGTACAATAATGTAACGATAGTCTAATTTATTTATAGTTTATTTATTTAAAACACACTATTTACAATTTATTTCAGACGTACTAATTAATTTATATAATACTTAGACACTAACTAACAATTCTAATTTATTTATTACAATTTTACTTTTCTGTCTAACACTTTATATTAAACTTTTCATTACAATGCTCTAAACTAAACTAAACTGCGCGCCGATGAGTCGGCTATTTATACCAAGCAAATTCTGTTCTCGTCATTTCTGGGCGCTCCCGAAAATTCCATCTCTATGACTCAACGGCATTAATAAATTATTAAGGTACCTGGGTGCGATAGGTTACAACTTCCTGAAGACTTTTTGACCACACTTTATGATAATATGTTACGGTGTTTTTAATTATTATAATCTGTTAGTTATTAATAATTATAGAAACTAATAAAAAGTCTCTTCAATGACAATGTGAAATAGTTTTTTAAATATGTTTACCTGCAAGTTCAATTACATTTACTTCAGCATCAGCTTGAATTTTATCTGCATCCTCTGCCTCTGCCCCGGTGAATGACATTTTACAGGTATTTCAACTCTTTTTAAAATATGGCACCAATAACAGCATAGTATGTAAAAAATCCACTAGATGTCGGTAGAAGATGAAGTACCTCAAATAAAATGAAAACAAATGACAAATGGTAATTTATTAATGTCTACTAATAATATTCTATATAACAAACGATATGGAAAGTGAAAATGAGAAGAAAAATATTATACCACATACCACCCATATATTTCATCAAAACAAAGTGAGAACATTACTATTTTTCATCATTTTTAGTGTACAAGACAGCAATAATTAAATAAGAAAAATAGTGTGTATTCTTTCCTACAAAATTGTAAATATTGTTGAAATGGGTTTTGAAAAAATAAGTGTTAAGTGCCATTTTGATGTTATGTTTACAGAAGAGTAGGTATAAAATTATAACTGCCACATTTTAGATAATTAATAAACACATTCCAAAGATACATGCTTATTTTGTTACCAGTCCTTAACAATTTCACATGGAGGGATCTCCTAATTGTAATAAAATGTGATTCTTACAAGGCAAATTGATGAAAAGGTTAGTTACAAAAATGATCTGTAAACCTATATGAATAAGTGTTGTAATAAACTTTTTATTAAATATAAATGCAGAGGATTGTTTTCAATAGATTCATTAACTTATACAACTTTAATTATTTACAAAATAAATCAAAGGTTTGTAGGTGTAACTACACACAGATTGATAAAGAAAAACGAAGGAAAGTTTTATTAGTATCCGCCAAGAGCTTGCATTATAAATGTAAAAAAAGAACAAATTATCAATCATTCCATTCTTGTTTACATTTATAATATACGGATGATGTCTTAACAGTCGAACTGCTAATTCTAATAAAATGTACACATATACACATTTAAAAAATTGAAAATACCTTTATTCGTTTCTTTTCTTTATCTACAAAATAATATAAAAGCTTATAACAGCAATTACTATCGTCTTTATTATTTTATTTCTACTTTGTCCAATTCAACTTTTGATATATCTAAACAGAGAATCTAAATTAAAATTTTACAGGTACATCATTCATATCTAAGATCAACAATAACTAGACTAGATAATAACTAGACCTCAACAATGATGAAAAAAGCATTATTTTAAACTAACTTTAATGAATAATATTGCAAAATTATTAGAGTTATAAATAAAATACAATTATATTTGTTCGTAAATATAGTATATGTCATGCTGCGTGAGCATTAGTATAATAACCTGTCAAATGATTGACCAATCATCTGATGGCCAAATCTTGAAGTTGGATACATGTTGATGTTAAAATATACTTTATCTAGCTCTTAATGATCAATATATGATCGAATCGGGTACCTCACCTTTTAACGACCTCAGGATACCTATTCTCTAACTCATGGGAGCACTCCCATACTCCCATGCTCCCATACTCCCATGCCAACGTTGCCAAGTTGACAGAATAACTTTGATCTACTAGTTAAGGACCGATTCCACCATTGTGTTAAACGAAGTTTAAAATAACATTTTTACATTAACAATGTCATTTTAATCTCCGTTTAACACAACGGTAGAATCGGCCCTAAGCAGTTCAAATTTGCTTTGTGATAAATACGGACCTAATCTGGCAAGCCCGCAATTCTCCCTCCCATGGTATAAAATCTGACCTTACTACGCATGTACCGGGGCTAAAAGTGAGTAAGCACGATATACCCACCTAAGAGTAAGAGAGCAAAATATATGGGAGCGCTCCCATGACTTAGTGAATAGCTATCCTGGTGAATTTTTTGGAACTACGTTGTGTTTGGTGCCATATCGTCTTTTGTTTTTATATGGGATTTTAGGGAAGTTGAAACACCTATTGTCTTTCATCGTGGCCTCTGCTAACTTTTTCTCCTCATTGTCATTATTAGCTTGACTCTGTTCGTCATTTTCAACTTTTTCTATAATAATAAATAATAATATTATTAATAATAAAATTATAATACATTATTATAAAACGAGAAAATCATTGTGTTCAAAAAATTGTATCGTTGTTTAAAAATAGTAATAAAAATATTCAGTAGCTTTATCCAAGTGTGTAAAGTACTATAAAATGTAGATAAAGAATTTTTTACTTACCACTAGCATGCTCTTTCGAAGTTGGGATTGATTCTCGTTCTCTTTTTTTGACTTGCTGCCAATGGATTTTCCGGTACACCAACACGTTTAATTTTAACCGAAACTTCACTGTGAATATTTTTCTCATGCATTTTTTTGATAGCCCTTGTTAAATACAAAACCATAAGATGAGCATTTCACTAGAACTCGGCCCGGACTAGTTTTCTTTTCCATTTTAAAAAATATTTAATGTACCTATATAAAAATTAACCTCCACTAAACTTTCCGATAAATTCACAAAATTCACATCAACTCATTAACTGCATCACATCCGTTTGATTTGAAAAACTAGAAAGAACTAACTCATTACCTTATTACTTTGTGTCAAATAAATAAAAACCTAGAAAAACAAAGACGTCAACATTTGCAGTGGGTCAAAGAAATGAAAGGCCGCCAAAGTTAAAGGCAAAGCCGCGACGCGACGTCGATTTTGTATAGGCCGCTTGTGCGAAATAAAGTCGATGTTTTTGAATAATAATAACAGGGTAGATAATATTTTTTTGACGTTAGCGACTATAGGAGCGAATTTTGTAATATGTAGGAATTTATAGTTTAAAAATTATATTTTATTTTATTTATTGTGATGAATAGGTTGGAAGGGTAGGTAGATTTTTCCAACCGTGTTTGGATTCCGAACCAACTGCCTTGTCTTTGGAGGGGTGGCTTCCCCCTGCCCCCCCCCCCCCTTGACCCCGGCCCTGACCTAGCTGGTACACGAAATGGCAACGACGATAATATATCGTTACAGTTTATTTTACCTGATAACACTTTATGAAAAAACAATAGGTCATTAATACATCTTCTTATAAATAAAAATTCAAGCTTAAAAAGTCTTATAATCGTTTCGTAGTCGCAAGTACCCTGTAGTGTGCGTATCCCATTCTGTGAGCGCAGGTTCTCAGAAAACGATTTTGAACAGCTTCCAATCTTTGGATATGCACCGAATAATGCGGAGACCAAACAGATGCATATTCAAGTGTGGATCTAACATAGGCTAAGAATAAGGTTGTTAATTCTGCAATACTCAAGTCTTTAGAGTTTCTATTAATAAAACCAAGTAACTGTAGTGATTTTGAAATGACTGAGTTTATATGAGGAACAAAGGAAAGATTGCTATCAAATACAACGCCTAAATCACGGATTTCATGAACTTTTTGTATTGGATTATTATCTAAAGTGTAATCAAATGTAATTGCTGTTTTAAGCTTACAGAATGTCAAACTGTAACATTTATTAGGGTTTAATAGCATGTCGTTATTTAAACACCAATTACATACTATATCAATATCACTCTGTAGTAGAATACAATCATCGAGTTTATTTACCTCAAAATATAATTTAAGATCGTCAGCAAATGAGAGGAACTTACAGAACTTAATGTTGTCATATAAATCATTTACAAACAAGTTAAATAAAAGTGGACCCAAATGGGAACCCTGTGGGTTTCCAGATGAAACCCTAATATCATATGAATGAAAATTCTATTTAGAGGAATTGCGAGACATTTGAGGTAATTTACATGCATTTGTGGGTAATTAAAGGAAATTAGAGAAATTTAACGAAAATTAAAGAAATTGCCGAATGGTACAGGACTCTCGAAAATAAACAAAAGTCGGTGCCTATGCTTATAATTCTCATTGGAATTCGATTAATTATAAAATTACAATAGTTATAATCCAAATATTCTATGAACATTTTAATTTGAAACTTATCGTAAAGTGTACAAATAATATTTCAAGAACGAAAAAAGTTACAAAACCGATTCTATCTGAACAGAACTAGAAAAATAAAAAAGGTTCGTCAAAATTTTGTTCCTTATTTTAACCTATAAATTATTCATCTCGCTCACTAACAACTAATAACAAAGTACAGATTGTCAGTGTTCACCTATTACAGAACACACAAACTAAAAATCAGTGTAGCCAACGCATCATCCATTTATCATAGCTGCCAGCTTTAAAAGCGTAATTGTATTGACAGCATACAATACCCATAGAGATATCTAGATTTAATATTTCGGATAAGTCTGTTTTTATTAAAAAAAGTAAATAAAAATAGATATTTTTTTTATAAATCGATAAAAAAAGTGAATAAAAACACCTAATAGTGATCAGCACCTGTACGATGGCAGGGACTGGTGCAAAGGCGCCCCATGGAGAAGAGTTCTAACTCCCAAAACCCCATTCGTATCTACGTCATTGCAGACATTATTGATTTCTCTCTTTATTCCACTTACAATAATCCATAATAAATTAATTTACTCTCTACACATCATTTTCTATTTTCACCTTTATATACATATAGACATTGTACATATTTAGTTAAATATTATTTATTATTTATTTAACAACAATTAAATGTTTTAGATGCATTACAACAAGGTGCTTCACAATTTGAACAACAAGCGGGAAAACTAAAGAGAAAGTTTTGGTTACAGAATTTAAAGGTAAGTCTTTTCAATATTGTTAATTTGTTTTCGAGTCAAAGTGTGGATTTAGTCGAAATGTCATTTAATAACAACTTAGGCAATATATTCTCAAATATATCCAATTTATAAATAAATTTTATAGAATGGTTGAACTACAACTATGAATTTGAGTTTATCAACTTTGGTAATTGAATTATTTATGCAATTTTGGAAATATGAAAATAAACATCCCCAATTATGAAAAATACACCCTCACGCCTCAAAGTAAAACTAGACCAAAAAATTGATGAAGCTGAGAAATAAAGAAAAATTTAATGCATCGACCAGGAACTGAACCTGGAACCTTCCGACTAGAACCGCCGGCGCCTCTACCAATTGGACCATCGAAGCACATGGCTACGACAGTCGAATTTGTAGATTTAAAGTCACTCATATTTTGGTTCTCGTTGGCGCGCGCACACAAACACACACACACACACACATTCTTCTTCCCACCCAGCTCTCGCAATTCTCCTAAAAGCCACCCTTGTAACATCGTATAGAAGGACGCAAATCTCGAAAATTTAAGAGGAGTATTTACTTGGCTGTAAAGCGGAGCATGCAAGGGTTTCGTAGTACCCCACTTTTAAAGTTTATTTTTGACTTATTCTGAAAGAAAAAAATATGTGCATGTAGGTAAAGGATAAATCTATGCTTCTCTGGAGACACTTTTTTAAAATTTAAAACTGTTTTTTCTAAAAAAAAATACAAAGCTCGACTATTTTTACCCATTTTCTCAATTTTTTTTAGAAAAAACTAAATTGAATTTTGAAAAAGTGGTTCCAGAGGAGCATAGATTTAACCTTTACCTACACGAACATATTTTTTTCTTTTAAAAATAGTCAAAAATAAACTTTAAAAGTGGGGTACTACGAAACCCTTACATTGCAAGATTTTTCGTCTGGAAAGTGGCGCCTCTGTTAGATTTTCAAGAAATTAATATTTGTGAATGAAAACAATTTATAATATATTTTACTGATAATTTACGAGGGATGAATAAATTTTACATATTTTACACCTTATTTTTTACGTAATTTATTTCTGTAATACTAAGATTGGTATATATATTATATGCAAGGGTTTCATAGTAGACCAATTTTACGGATTATTTTTTAATTTTACTAAAAGAAATTTTATGTAAGTACAGGTAAAGGCTTAACCCATACCTCTCTGGAGTCACTTTAAAAATATAAATCAGTCTCTTTTGAAAAAAATCTAAGAAAAGAATCGAAAAGAAATAGAAATGTTAAAAAACGCTAGAAGAGAACCATATATTTAATTTTTGCCTACAGGAGCACTTATTTTTATAACAATAAAAATAAAAATAAGTTAAAAGCTTTTTCGTCTAGAGGGTGACACCAACAAAATATATATCTTTTTTTTCTACTATTTAGTGATAAACAGTACATAAGTGATTTGAATTCATGTTATTTTTTACATACAGTAATTTCGCTCAATTACATTAAATTAATTTTATCATTTATTTATTAAAAAACATATATCCGAAATTGGAAGATATACACTGAGATATGAATTATAAATATGTTTTTGTTTAATGAATACCTCTTAAAGTCAACAATAATTATTAATTCCAGCATGTTAATATCTCTTCAATCCGTTAAAGTAATGTAAATATTTTTTCTTGCTTTCGCGCATAGCTTCTGTCGCACCCTTTGAGGCGTGCTGCAAGAGAAAATTTTCTAAAGAGTTAGCCAATGTCTATAAATGAGGAAAAAACGATTGTGACAAGCTGATTGTACATTGTGGCACAATAAAAGACGGAAACGAGTCACTGCTTTAAAATTTAGAGAAATTTGTAAAAATCTCCTAAAATCTTTTATTTATTTCTAAAGCCACCCGATATGACATGGACCATAAATTCAGAGCAAAATAAGATTTGGAAATTTATTTGCAAGTAAGTTTTTAAATGTGGACATTTTATTGAATTCGAATTTGATTATGTTGCTGCCAGTATGGATGGAATTAAAAAACAAAACAAAACACTATGATAGAGTTAAAATGTCCATATTATGGAGCTGAAGTGCTGACTGTAGAAGAAGAAATACGCAGTAGAGAAATAACTTTTTGGAAAAAGGACAATACCATTAAGGAGAACCACTATTGGTAAATTCAGGGCTAGCTGCACATAACACAAATGGATTTTTGCATTTTGTGCTTTTGGACTTCTGTAGGAATAAAAGTGGAGAAAATATATCATAATGACAGCTTTTGGGAAGAAAAGATACAAAATAAAATTAAAATTTTATATATGCAATATGCCTTGTCAGAACTTGTTGACAGCAAAGCTAATAGAGACATGGAAGTACAGGACAGAATACTAAATAATTCGTGAGAAATTTTGTTTAATGTTTATTGACATAACGCAAGGAATCTTAAATTATTTTGAATATTTTTATTGCTTTAAGAATTACATTTTATTTATTTCTAAAAGATGGTAGTAGGCGATCTATTTAAGATATGATTAATGTCTTATTATTATAATACACTATTTTAAATTTAGGATTTTACCAGTGTAAGTGGTAATTGATGATATATAATTATTATTATACCAAATGTTTTAAAAGGCTATACCAACTAGTGGACCACTCTTTTAAGACCCCAAATAATAGTTTCAAGATTTTGATTCGGATATTTTTATTTCACAAAAATAATAAGTTAGTTTTTGTTTTTTATGTAAATCATATCATTTTCAAGGCAATTAAACAGAAGAAAAGTCACCGAATATCGATTTCAAAAAGGTCTATTGGTTTTTATAGGAAATGGAAAGAGAAAGAACGCTTTTTAATCAAGTTAAAATTCTTTACTAATTTCGCTCTTTCTCTTCGACGATGTCCGGTCTCCTTCTTGTTTAAAATCGATAACTATAAACGGATTAAGGTATTTTGTACCGTTTTAAAAAATTTAAGAAAAATTTTAAAGAATATTTGTTTTTTTAAAAAATTAGTAAACTTTGACATGTACAATATTCTAAAAGATAAATCACATTACGTGTAGGTACAGGTTAAATCTATTTTCCTCTGGAACCACTTTTTCAAAATTTAATTTAGTTTTTTCTAAAAAAAAATTGAGAAAATGGGTAAAAATAGTCGAGCTTTATATTTTTTTTTTTTTTTTTAGAAAAAGCAATTTCAAATTTTAAAAAAGTGTCTCCAGGGGAGCATAGATTTATTCTTTACGTACACGCACATATTTTTTTCTTTCAGAATAAGTCAAAAATAAACTTTAAAAGTGGGGTACTACAAAACCCTTGCATGCTCCGCTTTACAGTCAAGTAAATACTCCTCTTAAGAAACAAAAATTTTATTTATTTTTCTAAAATAATATGGATTTTCCTCTAAATATATATAGTGGCTCACAAAAACTTTGCTTTTTATATGTTACTTTTTTCAGAAAATGTTGTTCCTGATAAAACTTGGTGTTTAATTAAACCTAAAACTTTATTTATTCAAAAAATTCTGTATCTTAAATATAAATTTGGCTGCACAGTAAACTAGGTAGGTACTTTTCTAGGAACCGAACCCACATTTTTACATATAAGATTAATTTAACAAGATATATATATAACTCCACATAGTAGTTTTTTAGTTAATACAATTAATAAAGATTATTATATCCTTTTTAACCTTCTTCAAAAAGGAGGAGGTTCTCAATTCGTCTGTATATATTTTTTTTATGTATGTTTAGCGATAATTCTTTAACACAATGTCCGATTTAAATGATTCTTTTTTACTGGAAAGGGGGTACCATATAAATTTGGTCAAAATCTAATAATTGGGTCCATGAGAAAATCCTCAAACTTTTCATTTTTTATGTATGTTTAGCGATAATTCTTTACACCTTGTCCGATTTCTATAATTCTTTTCGTTAGTAAGGGGGTACCTCAGGGGTTATCCCATATAAATTTGGTTAAGATGTGGTGATGGCATCTGCGCGATTTTAAAGTCGGTTTTTTAAAATTACTTTTAATACATGTTGCGTAAATTAAAAGTTTAATAATTTGGTGCTTTCTTGATGCGTCGTTTTATGATTTTACTTTGTATATATGTTTAAGTACAGATAATTATTATTACTGACAATTTATTTTAAATCATTAAAATAATATTTTGTTGATCCAAAAAAGGCAAACAAAAAAGCCATGTCACATTCAGTGTAATAATAAAAATTAGATATATAAATATAGTATATTATGTACCAACAGACTAAACTTTCACTTTCAATCCCGCCTTTTTAAACAAAAATATGGTACGCCACTGCTTTTTCTAAAAACCAAAATTATCTTTAAAATCCTTATTTATTTTGGAGCAAATTTGGTTTATAGACGTACTTTCGTACGACGCACCCTTTTCGCGTAAGAAAATAAAAACCAGTTTATTGAAACTGCTTTTGATATTTTGTTGAAATTTGGTAGGAACCCACCATGAGTGGAAACACTTTTTTTTGGGCAAAATAAAATAGTTATTTTTTTCTTAAAACTTTAACACCCAAGGATTCACACCCTTATCGGCACTCAATTAATAAATACCCTGTATTAATTGATATTACCTTATTCGAATTAATCGTCTATTTTTTCGTTATTTGTATTTATATTTCACAACTCTTTACTCCTAAATGTAATTTAATCTAACTAAACCTATTCACTAAATTAAAATATAAAAATAATGTAAAACCCTCTAAAAAATCGAACTGCGTTATAACAATATCTAGCAATGCACCAAGAAAAACAAATACGATTTTGGTTCCCCTAATTTAGGTAACTGACTCACTCAAGAATGTCTGCAGACGAGGTAGAATTTTTCGGTTTCTTTGTCTTAATTTCGCGCGTTAGAGTTTGGAATACGTATCCCTCGTATCTACAGGCAATTGTTAAAATTATGAATGAATGCGGATTTTGTTTAGTCTCGGAAGTAATTTTGTAGTATTTAGGCTCCACCCTTAAGTTGTAATTTTTATACCTACTAAACTACCGTTGCCCCGCAGGTCTTTCAGTTTGTAATGTAAATTTTCCTCTTAATACTGGTAAACGTGTGAAGACTATTGCAGCCATGTGTTTCGATGACCCAAGTAGTGGTTCCAGGTTTGATCCCTGGTCAAGGCCGATGCATTCATTTTGTTATTTTCTTTATTTGATGATGTAAAAGTATATTTTTGATAATTTCGTATTGGAATTGGAGATTATATATCTTCATATTTCCAAAATTGCATTTCAGTTTTCGGATCTCAATCGATTTTCTCACTTCACTTTTCTTTGTGAATTATTTTTATCAAATTTAAACAAAATTGTTATTTATATACATTACGAAGATGACTTTTTTATTGCTTTAACTGAAAGGTCAATTTCTTTTTAATATTATAGTGAAGCTTGTGACACCTCATTTAAAAAGAGTTTAATTCTCTATTCATCAGTTTTATTTATCATTATACTATTAAATTAAAAAAATTAACATATCAAGAAAGTAGATACCTACCACTTTAAGAGGGTTTATGTGAAGAAATAAAATTGTTTACCAGAGAGTTTTGTTTTATAATATTCCCATTAGTGCAAGGAAGTCCAATATCTCTCTTACCATAAGAAATATGAGAAAAAGTTTTAAATGAATGTTGTTAAAAATTCACTTTTAAACAAGAAAATAATACATTAACATGTATAATAGAGCTGCTTTGCAACTGTCATAACGATATACTTTTTTTCGTGACAGCAGTATTTTGTAAAAACTCACCAACACCAAAAAAGAAAATGGAAAGAAACTGTAGAAAATTCCTTCCATTGTGAATCAAAACTTAAAGGGTTTACTTTTTTGCATAATTCTAAAGTACTGTAAAATATACAAGGTGTTTCATTACATCGGAACAACTTTAATGTCGATGTTTTTAAATTACTCACCTGTATATTTTTTCACCATTGATTCGTTACGTTCCTTTACCATTGATTTCATCGCAAATTGTTACGTTCCAATGTTAAGATTTTTTTTAATTCTGTGACATCAATTTATGGCAAAAATATGAAGAAATGCCGAAAAACTGTTCATGACAAATATTAAAAAAAAAACTTTGTTTTATAATATTTGGTAAATACAAATAGCAGCAAATTTTTATATACAGGCGATTTTATACAGGGGTATCAACTTGCTAATCTTATAGTTGAAGTAAAACATCAAATTGAACATTCAGTATATAAGGAGCTCTCCAACCAAAGTGAAGCAAATCCAAATATTGCAAAATTGAGATAAAGATAGCACCAGAATCTCTGTTGACTATACTTACCAATGGATTATTTGTATCAAAGATAAAGTGCAACTTATCCTATGTTATATCCACATAATATACCTACACATAATTGTGTTTTTCAATTTTTACTTTTTTGATTTGTCGCACTTTGGTTAGAGAGCTCCTCATATTATTTTACTATTTGTTATTATTATATAGGCCTTAAAAGTGATAGTTTTTAACAAAATATTTATTTTAATTGATAACTTATAAATAATAGAGATAAAATAAAAATTAGACTTCCACGCACTAATGGGCCACCCTGCATATATGTTCGTTTTGTGTATATGATTATATAGCCTATTTGCTAAGTAATAATGTATTTTTCTTTGCAGATGATGATAATAATGGGTGTTATTGGTCTTGTAATTTTAATAATCATTGTCAGTAAGTATTCAAATATATATTATTTTCATCAAACTATTTCACACTCACCCCCATCCAACACGTCACTAAACAATTTTAAAAAGAATAAACGTCCAACTGGTTATTATTTACTAACTTATTTAATCTTCGTGGAAGTAAATATTTATATACTAGGTAAAACTGCTTAATAATTTTTACTAATGATGAATATACATATAATATTGCAATCAATCCGTAAAAATATGGTTTTATACATATTTATAAAATCTATTTTTTATGGTGATGTACATATGACAAAGCTTCTTTGGTTTCTCAAACATATATAAAAAAAAATCCCTATTTCATAAAAATTGAGATCATTATCTGACGAGGTTTCTTTAAATACCTACTCTCAATGTAGATTAACGTTGTGATTGTTACTAACCGACATAAATTTCACCCTGGTCACTATATATACTAAAAAAACTAAGATACTAACATTTAACGATAAAAATTTGAAAATTTCGAAATTATTAAATGGTTTTATTTTTTCTTAGTGAACTTCATGTAACTCATGGGCCAAAAATTCGGTAATTCTGAATGAACTTTGTGTTTTTTTGATGTAAAAGGCTTTCTGTCTGTCTTTCTGTCGTAGAATAATATACCTACTGCGAATAATGTCTTCCCTCATCACAAAAACTCTGTAATATAAGTTTATTTCTTCTCACATAATGTAAGTAATGGACGCTTTAAAGATCACCAATTTTTAGTGATTTTTAAAGCATTGACTTTTTGATATTAAGTTAGAATGCTAATTTTAGAAAATTCAAACAATATGTAAAACATTGTTTCTCCAATTTGAATTATTTTATTAAAATAAAGAGCCTAGAACAATCCAGTAGTTTTTAATTATTTGAATTCTGTTGGAAATATACCACTTTACTATTTTATATGATTTAAATATAATTACTTACAGTATGTGAACACTAAAAATAATGTGCATGATTTTATTCCTATGATCATTGATTTGTGCTCGAGTTTTTAAGTAGAAATTGTTTGCTGTAGTACCAATAGTAATATAAGCATATAAAAACTGTTTTATTATTAACTTATGTAACTGAATAATAAATTATAATCCATAACAAATATGAAACGCATATAACAAACAAATCTCTCTTTTTGAGTTACAAGGTATGTTCTTAAATATTCACAAGATAATAATTTTCTCTCCTAAAAGACATAATTCCTTTAGTTTTAAAAAAATAATGACGCATTACAGCGCCCTTTTCGGTTTCAGTAAAAAGTATGTTTTGTGAAACTTCGGTAAACCACATAAATTAATATATTTATCTTTTATTTAATATCGAGTAATATTTATATTACCTCACGAGTAATATAACCTCTCGTCATTTCTAGGTTCGACGACGGTAACAGTAGATGTAGACTTATCAAGAGATCGTTTTAAGGACTATTTTAACACAACCCATTCCTTGTTCAAAGCAATATGATCTAATTAAAGCACCTAACTTAAAAATTGAGAATAAATAAAATTAATTTCAATCCCTTTCATCTTTTTCAAACTTTTAAACCATTATTTGGTGATAAATTAAAAAAAGTGCCATATCTTATACACAAGGTGTTTCATTGGTAAACGGACAGACGGTCACCGTGGATAAGGGACACCAAGATCGTTCTAAAAATCTATGGTTAATTGGTCTCACATTATTAATAACAGAGATACAGGGTATTTTATGAAGTTTGCTCAGTTCTTTCTAAGCTCATAACTAACAAACCACTCACTATATTTTTTAAAAATTGGTTTCCGTTTCACTGCCCAAACGACTGACATAATAACGAGAAGAAAAAACCAGGTCCGTATTAACAAAAAACCTATAAATGTTTGTGTTCTTCAAACAACACTCTGTATATTATAATTTTCAAAATTCTTTTTAATATTTTAAAAGAGCACAAAACACTGAATTAAATAATGTACTTTTTTAATTCCGCATCCGATTCTACGGGAGACATTTTAATCAAATTTACATTTTTTATTAAAACCGGTTAATATTTTAAAAAGTTCATTTTTAGGGTTCCGTACCCGAAGGGTAACCAACGAGATCCTATTACTAAGCCTGCGCTGTCCGTCTGTCTGTCAGCGGGCTGTACCTTATTATCCTAAGTAGGTAGACAGTTGAAATTTTTACAGAATCTGTATTTCTATTGCCCCTTATAACAACTAATAATAAAAATAAGAATAAATAAAAAATTAAAGGAGGCTTCCCTAATATAAACGTGTTTTTTGGGCTTTTTTGCTCGATAAAGTATTTAATAAATCTTGTTCGATAGTGCGGAAACCTTTATGCTCCAGTCCGACTCGCCCTTGGCCAATTTTTGTTATTCAATTAAGAAAATAATTTACTGTGATCTATTGAAACTTGTAAAATTGTGTATATCTTTGAAAATGTGAGTGCAGGTCCGGATTTATAATAAAATAATACGTTTTCTAATTAGTTTTATAACAATTTAAATAATAATTTACACAAAAAAAGAACAATAATACATACGATTTTTTTGAAATATTTCAACTAATTGAACAAATTATAAAAAGTTACAAAGGTTGCCTGAAATGATCCTCGTTTTGTGCAATTCATTTTGGTGCTCGTTTTGTAATGCTTCTTATTGTCTTTCTTATTTGTTAATTCTTCGCAAACGTTTTCCATTCTCTGTAAAAGTTCTTTCCTACTATTTATTTTTATGAAATACACTTTAGACTTTAGGTTTTCCCAAACATTATAATCTAAAGGAATTAAATCGGGTGATCTCGCAAGCCAATTGTGAGTACCACCCTCCCTATCCACACTGGCAAAATGTTTTAGAGGAAATGTAAACATGCTTTTTCAGTAAGTTTATGCGGTAAAACCCATAGCCTGATTAAACGATTATTTAATACCACACACCAAATGTTAAAGGAAAATCTTATTTGTGAATCTCGTTGCATACAAATTTTCTTCGTTCCAAACATGACAGTTCCTTAAATTAAACACCTCGTTTCTTGTGAACTGCACTTCATCGGTAAACAAACATCTGTTCGGAATCTTTTGATTTTGGATTATCCACCTACTAAAATTTATTCGATCAATGTTATCGCCACCTCTGTACTTTTTGTATGTGGAAAGGGTAGAGATGATTTTTTGTAATCTTCTCCAAACAGTGATATGCGGCACATTACGAACATGACTAAGTCTTCATGCACTTACTGTTGGATGATTTTGTACCATATTTAAAATGTTCTGTTTCATATCTTGTAACGAGGGTGTCAAAGTTTATAACTCCTGTTGTTGTTCTACTGGACACCACCATATTTAAATCTGCATATCTCTACATATAAAGTAATATGGAAAATATGGAAACAAAAATTAGTATTAAATTTAAATGATTAATAAAGGATATGCCTTCAGTAGATAAGGGAAAATCCAAATTCTAATCTACGAAAGTTTCTGATAATAAAATTACTCTTGAATTTATCTATTTTTGCTAAGTATTTTGTACAAAAATAAGGGACTTATCTCAATGAGGTAGGGCTTCCTCAAGGGGGTAGAATAGATCTCGTCTACGATGAAAAGTCTTCTATGGGTCTTTGTAGGTCCTCAAGACGTTAATACTTCATTAAATCAACAAATCCTTCTTCATATAGCAAGATAATAATAATAATCTTATTCATTCTTCAAATTAAACCATGAAATTAATCTTCCAATAAAAACGACGATCATACAGATCTTTCTTCATGTAACCATAAAAACCATTCAGATGTTTGACGAAATTATAATCGGATAGGTAGGATAGATGAGACGAACATTTTGAATAATAAAATGAAACATATTTTACAAAAACCAATATATTCAAAACATTCGACCCAGAAAAAATATAACCTCTAAAAATACTTATATAGAAATATCAATCGCAAAAATGTCTCTCGATTGACAGACACAGAATTAATATTGAAGGAAATAGATGGAGCAATAGAGGTGTCTGAAAATAACGGTATGAAAGACAATCCGTTTTGGTGTGTTAGAAAAATGTACGTAAATTTAATATTTTGTTCTAAAATCGGACCTGCATTAATGAGATACATATATACGAGACATATATTGCAAGTTTAAATACATTACAATAAATTATTTTCTTAATTTAATAACAAAAATTAGCTTCTCGAAATGTTATCAACTGGTCTTAATATAAAATGTGAATTCGAGATTAAAATGTCACTCGTAGAATCGGATACGGAACTGCAAAAAGTATATAGTTTAATTCAATGTTTTGTGCTTTTTTAAAATATCAAATCAGATTTTAAAAATTTGATATACCAGGTGTTGTTTGAAGGACATAAAAATTAAGTTTTTTGTTAATACTGACCTGGATTTTCTTCTGGCTAAGAGGTCAGTCGTTTGGGCAGTGAAAGGAAAACAAGTAAATCAACTTTCAAAAAAATATACTGTGTGGTTCGTTAGTTATGATCTTTAAAAGAAATGAGCAAACTCCATAAAACACCTTGTATCTATGTTACTAATGAAGTGAGAACCATTAATCATAGATCTTTTAGAACCATCGTGGTGCCCCTTCTCCACGGTTAGCGTTTGTACGTTTACCAATGTACGTTTACCCTGCATATTGAATGAATAATGTTGAATAGTTACATGTTTTAAATAAATAAAATTAAATAATTCACTCACATGGGCAATAATACATATAAATTATGTAGGATATAAATTTTATATTCATAAAATTTAAAAAAATTAAGTGCCATATATTATATATTGAATAAATAATATAGATTAATTCACTAGCAAGCGCAATAACACCTATACATTAGGTATCTATATAGAAATGTTATATGCATAAAATAAAAAAAATAACTACCTTATCTTATATTATATTAAATAAATAATTTTTAATATTTACAAAAATATATTTCATACATCTCAGAATATGTGGACAATCTCCCGAATTCAGATAAAACACATAAAAATAACATGACAAGTTCC